CGTAATTTTCTCTGTTGGTCCTAACAGAGAAATGTGCATGTTTTCTCACATTCACCTTACTTCCATATATAAACATGGAATCCTCTGCATTTTTTACTAACACTTCACTAATTAGTTTGCTTGTTGATCACTGTAATTCATCTGGATGGTCTCTATGTCTCTTCTTGGTAGGCACTTAAAACACTACACCCTGGGACCAAGTTAAATGCAAGAAATGAGTTTGTAGGCACTATCCATCATACAAAATAGCTGGGGAGCACAGAGAAGGGAGAGATAGATACCATGTCATCCCACCTGCCCTACTGTACAGTATGGTCACCTTCATCTATACCATGGCAAATAGAATCAAATTATAATTATTCTTTTGAACAACATACTACACATTCAATTATTTACGTATTTAGTTTTAAATAATAAATTTTAAAATGCTGATCCAAGTCTCTAGATGCCCTAACACATCATTCATAATACAATCAAATCACAGCAGCATTGAACTAATTATTTCAACAGGCATGCTACTAGCCAGCCACTTACAGAAACTCCTTTGCACCCCTCCTTCTTGGTGGGCAACATACCCTCAGACTTCTCCAAAATTCTTATCAAACAGATGTTTGTTTCAGCAAGCTCGGGAGGACGCCAAATTTAAAACATTTATATAATAACTTTAGTATCATTGTGGTGGGGCAGGTGCCCCACAGAGGGAGAAGAAGGGGTTAAAAGCAGCAACAGGGAGACTGCACAGAACCCATGAATCAGGAAAGAGTTTATTGAGCCCACCAATAGGGGGAAGGCTTGCTGGAGCAGCCAGTCAGGACCGGCGAGGACCATATGTAAAGGGCTGCTCAGCAGAGCACAAGGGAGTCTTTCCTTGGAAGGCAAGGGAGGAGGACTGGCTGCCTGAAGAAGTGCCATAGCTAGAGCAGTGCTGGGTAGGGGCAGTGGCAGCAGAGTGCGAGGGTGAGGGTGAGCTGCTGGCTGACCAGTACCAGGCTGGGGCCTTGCTACAAGGGCTGAGAGGGTGCTAGGACTATGGGGGAAGTGGCCCAGGGAAAATAGGCAACAGGTTGGAGGAGGGCAGTAGGTAGCTGCTGGCTATAGGGTCCCTGGGTAGGGACCTAGAGTAGCGAGTGTGCCTGGGTCCCCTCCTTGCACCCCACTTGCCAATGAGGAGAGTCGCCAGTATCGAGACTGTAGTTTGCCCCTGAGGCGAGGGGCTGGACCTTGGACTGCAGTTGGCCACTGAGGCAAGTGGCGGGACTAAGGACTGCCAGTCCCCTGCAAGGGGGGAGATACCGGAGTGAGGGCACAGCTGGAGGACCATGCCCAGAAGAGGACGCTGCAGTCCAGGGACAATACAGGTCCAAAGAGTGGAGACAGCAGTCACATCAGGCATGACACCATTAGCTAAAGGCGGACTAGAAGGGCCGAGAGCTAATTCCCAGAATGGCCAGCAAGAGGCACCATGGTGGTAAGTCCTGCTTTATCACAATCATGGTACAGAGTGAGTACTAAAGCTATACCAAATAGAATTTTCAAGTAAAACAATAATATAAATATTTTAGGGCACACATTTTTAGATACTTATTAATTAAAAGCTGCGGAGGCAGAATAATTCCCACTGTCAAGGACAACACTGGCAATATTTTCTTATAAATGGGCTCAATTACACACACACATGCCCTGCCTCCAGATATCTTTGAATCCCTTATTTGTGCATTTCTGTATGTGTTGGTTTTGTTTTTTTGTTTTTGTTTTCTGTTATGTGTGGAACTCTATAACTTAATCATTAAAGTCTTTAAAAACAGAAACTTCTGAAAGTGTTCTACTATTTTAAAATAAATAAATAATGATACTACTTCTTGCACCTTCCTCTGAAACTTCTAGTACTGACTACTGTTAGAGACTGGATATCAGAGTAGATGGACAACAGGTCTGACCTAGTATGACAATTGATATATTCCTGAAATATTTGATTTACATTCTAATCTTTTTTCTTTGTAGGTTGTACAACAATTTAGAATAGATACTTTGCAGTCCACTACAATTTTGGAGAGGCAATAGTATTAGTAACCAAACAGTAAACAAGAAACTCTGGCACCCTCTGAAAAGTATTTCCCTAAGGAACTCCATGTTATTCCTTTAAGTCTTCAGTTGTCCTTTCTACGAGAACTGCTTCACCATAAAACACTCTATGAATAAACACTTTTAACTTGCTATGTAAATCACCAACTGTCAACACTGAAAAAAGATACTGAAATTGATTCATTACAATGTATTAGCTTACATACAAGGGCTGTGATGGGAAAGTATCAAGGAAAAAGGAAGTCCTCAATGTGCACAGCAGCCTGTAGAATGTAACTTCTAGCTGAAGAGAATTCCAGGGGAGAAGGCCTGCGAATGAGTGTACTATCCTCATGTCCTCTGCATCAATGAGCTTCCAAGCAGAGTCAAACAAAATGCTTAATCTCAATGCAGTTTAACAGTTGAGTATATAAGATGATAAAGGAAGCTGTGACCACTGGGGGATTTGTACATGGTATCCAGCACCTCTAATTTCACCTGAAAATGAACCGGTGGCCAGGGCAGAGGTCAAAGGACAAGTGTAGAATCTTCTTGTCTGGGGACTCTACTTAGAAGGCAGGAAGCCACATCCTGCACAGTTGAAACTGCCAAGAGGTCTTCAAGGTTTGTCTCAGGTAGCATCCACAGAGCACCAATAACAGTGGTAAGATTTGCATCTGAGAAGAAAAGGCCCAATTTCTTGGCTAATCATAAATGACAGAAGGCATTTCTGGACAATTTCTGGGAATCTAGGAGATGAGGATTGTGATTCACTTTAGTAACAGACAATCACTGAAGTGTAAGTGTGTGCTTAGGACATTGATGAAAATCCACCAGAAAAGGTTGAAAAGAAGAAAATAATCTTTAACTTCTTTTAAAGTACAGTTGGAGCTGCTATGATCATATCTTCTAGAGGCAGAGAAAACAACTGGAGAACATGGAGTCCTGATAAGAGGATACCAGCAGAGAATGCCTTTTTGTAGGCACAGTGGAAAGTCAAACCTACGTCTCTGATATCCCAGATGAATGCCCTAATTGCTGGGCTATTGGGTATTCTGGGACACATCCCAGGGACCGGCCTCAAAAATTCCAGACTTGTTTGCCCCCAGCTGTCTTTTAGGAAGGTTAGGCATGCTCAGTGGATGCCTGTTGGATCAGTCCCCACAGACAAGATAGGCGGGGGAACACCTAGTTTGAGAATCCTGATGGGGCTTACGCATGTCCCAGAGCTGCGAGCAGCTCAAATTAGCTGTAAGACCATTGTCAGAACTTCAGCAGCTTTGGGCAGGCATACCAGTGGAAACTTAGGCATGTATGAGGATTTATGTGCCTACTGGGTTAGGCAGCAGCAGAGCAGTGGATATTTGAATGTCAGTGGTGCCTACTTTTTGGACGTGGGCATCTACAAGGGCAGTTAGGTACCTAAGCCCCTTTGTGAATCTAGCTCACAGTGCTTAGTGCAGTGTAATAGACATACTGCACAGCAGAACCTGAAAGCAGCTCCTCATGCAATAAGACATCTGGTTCTATTTTGTTAGTTTCTATATAAACATACCTATCAACAATAGGGGAAAAAAAGAAAAGAATTCCCTAATCATGCAAACAGTGTTATTGGTCATCATTTCTTTCTGTCCCTTGGTGTAAGATCATATCCTGTTAGCATCCATTTACTATCTGATACATCCTCTCATGGGAACTATATTTTGAACTCAAAAATCTAACCAGTCCTTTCTATTATTAACTAATTGAACTGCATGTGCTTTTTTAGAACTCAGTGAACTTCTCTGAACCCACTTGTTAGGTCAGAATGATATGATCTGACTGCCTGATCATATCACATATACAAATTTCATATACATCCCAGTTAATTCCATAGGACAATTTAGGTAGCTGGCTAACCTTTTTTTGCCCCCATGATAGTCTATCCAGTCTCCATTATATGTGCTGTTTGGTTAGGGGGCCAGGAAAAGCCGTCTCTACAGTTTCAGAGTTTGACAGCCTTAGCAATTGTTCATACTTGGAGTTTTAAATTATAGCCTAGGAGGTGATGAGCAATTCTGATTTGTGAATGTGCTAGGAAAAGGAGAAGCGGTTTTGGAGTGAGTGCAGAGGGTAATAAACAGCAGCAACCAGGCACCCTATACACAGATATTTGAAAGCTTCTGCCCCCTACCCCATAAATCAGAACTAAGCAAAATTATTGTTAGTCAGGTAGTGATACCTTGGGAGAGAAACTGGTTCTTGTTGTTTGAATTAAAATCCTTGTTTCTATCCCCAGGTTGTATGGATAACTGATCATGATGTGAGCACAGTTTGTGACCATTTAAGAGCCAGATTGTGACTGTTCCGGTGGATGCACAAAGTAGTGGGGACCAGGCACCAAGAGTCTTTTCCCCATTGTACCACTGCACAGGCACCTGTCATAATCACCCTGAGTGCAAAGACTGTGTGAATCTAGCACCACCATGTGGAACAGGGGTAGGAGATAGCCTGGTGCTATGGTTCTATGCCAAGTCTCTGCTTTGGATAACTGAGCTGGTACAAGGAGAGAGCACAGTACAATGTGCAAAACACCCTTCCTGTTTGCATTCCTCACAAAGCCATGGACCCATTTTGTTTGAGTTATCCTGGCTCCTACTGCTTAACAGCCCTAAACATACTTGCCCCCAATCCTTCCCAGTGCAGGCTATGACTTAAATCCCTTGGTAGCCACTTATGCATTAACTGTGGGGAAGAGAAGAGATTTGAATGTAAGAAGATAATGCTAAAATAAAATTGAAATCTGTATATTCCTAAGAACAAACCCAGCCATTTTCTGTGTTCTAACCATAAATTTTAGGAGCTAAATTTCCCCTGCAACTTCCTCAGTAGGAAATTAACATTGAAAACCAGTAAGTAGGATCTAGTTAGTTATCAAGAGGTGTATATTTATTACTCACCCACTGGAGACATTTCTGGTACACTGGCAACATATGGACCATCTAGGAACTTTGGCTCATTATCATTAATGTCCTGCACTTTGATGATGAACTCTGATTCAGGCTCCAGTGGTTTCCTGGTGTCTATGTCCACAGCCTGAGCACGGAGTGTGTAGAAAGGCTTTTCTTCTCTATCAAGGCTCCTTATGGCGTGTATGTCCCCTGTGGTCTCGTCGATGGTAAACACTGTGCCAGCTCCATCTCCTGAGAGGGTGTATTTAACAGTGCCCGCTCCCTTGTCCAAGTCAGAATGAAGCTTAACAACAGAAAAAAAGAAGGGGGGGGGATATTAATGGATCATTCTGTGCTGGAAGACAGATTATTTTGTGCCCTCTTAATGTCTTCTAGGTATAAGAGGAAATGGCTGGCAATATGCCAAAGATCATTTGTATCATTTACTAATATCTAGGAAGGAAGTATTTCAAAATCCTAACTAATTAGAGCCATGCAAATTCCTTACCATAAAAGCTCAAATGCACCAGGTTTTGACTACAGATTTAAAGCTAAAACCAAGTTCATCAGAAGGTTGGCTACCACTTTAAGCAAACCTCGGCCTAGTTTAGAGCAAACATGAGCTGATTTGCAATTGCGTGTCAAACACATGACATTCATTTGGCTTTTACACACATGCAGATGTTGTGACTGAGTTTTGCTTTTAGATGATAGGTTTGTTTAAAACTCCAAACTTCATTTAAAAGGCATAATGAATTTACTGTGTTATAACTTGGTTCTAAGCAAGCCAGGAAGCTGAAATTAGAACTCATTTAAGGTCAGATTCTACCCTCACTTATACCCATGCAACCCCATTGACATCAATGTTCAAATATTAATCATTTAGCACACTCCCTACTGTGAACTACAGTAGTTTCATTATACCCTGTGACACAGCAACCACTTGGCAAAGGGCCGCCTGCTCTTTACAAATATCTCTCACCTCAGACCTCACAATCTCACTACACCAAACACATATCTTACAGGGTATTTACCCATAAAGTATCTAGAGAAATTATAATAATTGCAAGATGTATGTACAGGTAATATTTTTAGGAATAAAATAAAATTAGTCACTAATGGATAACGAGCCTCAGTGATGGCCCTTTTGGGCAGGGAGAAGTTGCCCCCATGCCCTATTTAGCCAGTGACGCAATGCAAAGCTCAATTGTTTAGCCTTGTGCGATACTAGGACTTTGCCTCTGGCGGTTTCCCAATAAATGACAAACAATCAAAATCACTTGCAGGTAAAAATGGAACTTTAGAACAAGAGAGAGATTCACCCTGTCTGTGACTGTAAACAAAAAGACTGTTTTCAGTATAACACAGGGAGGGAGAAGCACTGGTGAGCCATTTGCTGAGGAAGCCCCTTGTGGAGCATGGTGGGGGGGAGCGCATGGATGTTGGTATTCTTGTTCCTGTGAAACCAGCCAGCTCTGCAACAGACTGAATGGGGGGGGAGGGGGGGGAGAGACCCTACTTTATTAGCTGGGAAAGAAACTATTGATACATGTAGATCCAGGTGTTTGTTTGTTTTTTTGTTTTGTCTTGTAACCATTTATTTCCATCATGTGCTCTCATTTCTAGTTAAATCTGTCCCCTTTCTTTAAAAAACAACAATCCTACTTTTGTTTTATTGCAAGTGCTCAAATGTGCTGGTGATTTACAGAAGCGATGGTTTAATGTGAAACTGGTAAAACCACCTCAACGAGCAACGGTTGCTATGGTGGCGGGAGAAGTTTCCTGCCGACATAGCTCTGTGCACACTACCACTTATGCCGGTGAAACTTATGTTGCACGGGGGGGGAGGGGGTGTTTTTCACACCCCTGAACAACATAAGTTTTGCCAGCATAAGTGGTAGTGTAGACATGGCCTAAGTGATTTTCCCCACAGAGCCCTGGTCTACAATACAAAATTACTTCGGTATAACCACAAGCGCCAACTTTTGTTGGCATTGGTGGGAGCTCGCGCCCCGCCCCGACTCTGCCCCCTCCCTGCCCCTATAGGATCCCTCCCCAAATCCTCACCCTGGCCCCGCCTCTTCCCCAAGCGCACTGCGTTCCTCCTCCTCCCCCCTCCCTCCCAGGCTTGCCACGCAAAATAGCTGTTTAGTGGCACAATTGCTGGGAGGGAGTGGGGAGAAGCAGGACACGGTGGCCCGCTCAGGGGAGGAGGTGAAGCGGAGGCAGAGGTGAGCTGGGGAGGGGGGTGGGGTGGGGAGCACCCACGGAGTCGACACTCATGGGTATAACTACATCTCTCAGAGATGCGAATAATCCAGACCCCTGGTGATGTAGTTATATTTACCTAACTGCCGGTGTGGATGGCGCTATGTTGGTGGGAGAGCTTCTCCCACTGACATAGCTACTGCCTCTCACGGAGGAGGAGTTATTCAGCCGACGGCAGATTTCTCTCCTATCGACTTAGAGCATCTTCACTACAAGTGCTACAGCAGTGCAGCTGCATCCATGCAATTGTGCCACTGTAAATCTGTAGTATAGACCTGCCCTCAGAGGGAAAACTGAGGCTGGAACTCAGTAGTTTCTGCCTCACAGTTCCACACATCTGCCAGCCCGTTGGAATGGCAATTGTTTATTCTTAATGGGATAAAAACCCAAACTGCAAGATTTCTGGCTCAAGGACCATCTTTTTTTTTATTTGTTTGAATAGTGTCTAATAGAATAGGGCTTTAATCCCTGTTTGTGGGGACAGGAACTACCACAATAGTAACAATAAATAATATCATCAGGTTTCTTTTGTACATGCTGATATCGGTTTCACACTCATATTTAAGATGAAGCTAGAAAACTTTAATGGATGCCCAAAGTTATGTCACAGTAGTCTGAACTCCCTGGTTTGCCATAGACTTAAACAAGGGGTGACATTTTAGATGCTACTAGTCCCATCTAATAAGGTGTAAGCAGATCTGCTGTAATGGACATAGCCTGGAAACGACCTTTCAAGATGCTTCAGAGTGAATTTCCTTAAACCGTGCAGTCAGTCATAGGCTTTATTTATATTATGCATTGTAGAAGGCAAAACACAATAGAGAAAACATGGAAAGTGAAAGTAAATTATACCAAAAATGCATTACTGAGAACTAGCTAAATGGTCTCAGTAATGGGGCAAGAAGCTGAGTTACAAAGGAAGCGGTAAAGACATTTATTAACATTTATAGCCCATTCTTCTCTTGAAATTGAATCTAGGTCCTTGTGACTCAGGAGGAGGTCGTGGTTTGTGGGATAGAAAGAGCACTCACACAGACAGATTCCCCTTCCTAAGCTTTTTTAGCCCATCCCTGCTCCTCTCTGAGGTAATGGGTATCTGACCCTGCATCTAGCTACCCTATAGGTGGGGTTTAAATTACCTCACCACTTTAGCATAGTGTGTTCCTCCCATTGTGTGCTAGGTATAAAAAAATTATTAAAGCTAATGTTAAAAAAATTACGTAATACATAGGTTGAGAAAAGTGTTTGTACCTCTGGGTATAGGGCTTAGATTATCCACAAACACAGAGTTTGTTTTAAAAAGTCATATGATACATAGAGTACATAATCAGCAATAACCCAAATTTAGGTGAATAAATTTAACAATACTGTTTAGATATTTGATTCAAAGGCAGCTTATCCACCCGCTGCTGAGAATCAAACATCCCCTTTGTTTGTGAAATGAAAAGATAATGGCTGCAGCCCTGAGATAATTAATGTCTCTCTCTTCATCACTTAAATTAAAGTGGTTAGTGCCCATGCATCCTGCTGCACCATTATACTTTGGTCAGTTAAAGCTGCTTTCAAATGTAAGTTTAAAGGCATTTGAGTAGTACGAGAAGAGAAAACCAAAATGAAAATGAATAAAACAGAAAAATCTTAATATGGCACAGAGAATTGCAACACTTTCTGCATGTATGTTACTGAAATTAAGATATGTTTTTTGTATCTGTATCATGTGATCTGAGCTGTTCTAGTAGCTATGACGAAAGAGGGAATGACACAAGCCAAATATTTGTGTTTTGGAAACAGGAATTTGCAAACAGGGAGAGCCACACCAACCATAATTTCTCTTCCCCTCTGGCTTTGGATCAGGGATGGCAGACTGTGATTCCTATTTGCCAGTTGGAGAATCCATGACAGGCTAATAATGAACCAGACATCACTGTACATGGTAGCTATGAGTCTCCATTCTACCAGAGAGGAATGAAAAATTGCTGTGCTTAAAAGTGGCCATGGGAGAAAAATATAAAGAATATGGAGTGGGGAAAAAAGAAAATAAAGGTTTCTGAGAGAATGGTTGAGTGAAAAGAAGCTTAAATTGGAAGAGAAGCACAACTGCAAATTAATGTGGTTTGTTCAGACACAATAGGCCTTGCAAGTGTTATATTTTGCAGCATTACAAGTTCAGTTGTCAAAAATATGTTCACTGCATTCCATACTAGCAATGGGCTAGATCACCAGTCAGTGTAGCACCATTACTTTCAATAGAGTGATGCTGTTATACACTAGCTGAGGACCTGGCCCATTATATTTATTTCATCAAGCTGTTTTGTCCTTTGATTTTGCTGATGAAATCCATCATTGGACAATAGGCAGACCTGGCACTTACTTGTAGTCTATTTTGAGCTATACAAATTATGGGGTGATTTGCAGATATACAGTGTCTCCCTAAATATGATAAATCATTACTAATCTCAAATGAACCAAGTTCTCCAGCAGAAAAAGAGAGAGTACATTAACCACCTGCATCACCTAGCCTTAATCCCACTGAGTTCCAAATTCACTTAGATTTCAAATAAGAAGCTATTTAAAAAAATAAACAAACAGTTGTGTAGGTGATGGAACTATAGACCTGCATCCAGACAGCTGTTTGCTATTGGTGGTGGTGTTATTGTTGATGTTCCCCACTTCAGCTCAGATGGTGCGTGAAAATCAGATGCCAAGAGAGCGAGAGAGAAGACTAGGATCTGCTGGGTGTGCACAAGAGTACAGGCTGATCTTGACTTTCATTGCTTTAAACTTTACAGAAAGCAGTTTAGTCTACAGAATAAGTGCTTGCTATTCTGTATCTGATTTATATGTTGCAAAGTGTACTGCACTGAAAGAAAAGACATTTATCCTCGTCTAGTCCGAGTTGAAAAGTGCACATAAAAATTTGAGAGAGCGCTTTTTCTATCACTGTGTCCAACAGTAATTTTGTTTCATTCCATTTTTTTCTTGTGGCTTTTATTTATTTTCTATTTTCTATTTCTTGCTTTTCTGCTCTTTGAGCAA